TAAGGAGCAAAATGGCTGAAATTTTCCCCTTGTGTCTGAGTTCAAAGATCAGACTCCAAAATATTTCGAAAGGGTTGTAATGCCTTAGGAAACACCTTGGTTACCTTCACGAACGAAAATAATAGCTGCTTACAAATAAATTCTTGGCTTAGCATGAGAAGCTTGTGGCATGGGAGCAAAATCGACATGAGTTTAGCACCGAAGAGAAAACTGAGTGTTCTTAGGAGAAAAAGGGGTATTAAGGTAGGAGATGGAGAGTTTGCAAAGAGGTTTGGTTGAGAAAGGATGGAAGGAAAGGAAAAGATGGCTTGGTCGCTATTTCCGGCAGCTCGACAGTGACTCTGTCAAATGTCAGAATAGCATGACAAAGGGAAAAGCTGAGGGAGGAGATGAACTAAGCACGAAAATTGCTGGGTTTTGCATGCAAGAGAGGAAGCTTGCTCTCTGGTTGTGTTAGAGATGAATAAAAAAGAACCTAACATATTCAAAACCCATATTCATATTTTAGCATGGTATCAGAGCAATCGATCCTCGGTTGTCTCTAAATTCTCATATCAAAATTTCTCCTCCCCTCCTCTTCAAAGGGGGGGGAGGGGGAGTGAAAAAGGATCTGTTTCTCTTTATCATGGAGATTTTGCCTCTTTCTTGACTCCGACATATCTCTTCAGGGGGAGAAGAGAATTGAAGAGAAATTTCTATGTTCTTAAACCGTGTTCACAGGGTTTCTGTGTCCTTTAGCCGTGTTCACAGGGTTTATGTGTCCTTTTAGCCGTGTTCACAGGGTTTCTGTGTCCTTTAACCGAATTCACAGGGTTTCTATGTTCTCTAAATTCTCGTATCGAATTTTCTTGAAACACCAATCGTATTCCTCGTATCGAATTTCCTCGTATCGTATTCCTCAAATTTCTCATACTCAAATCAAATCCCTCAAATCTAAAGTCCTCAAATGCCTTATCTCAAATTTCTCATACTCAAATCAAATTCCTCAAATCAAATTCCTCCAATCAAAATCCCTCACATTCTCATATCACATATGTAGGGGTCTTTTTCTTCCGGTAGCTACAGATGGGCTGGGCCGCCATAAGGAGCAAAATGGCTGAAATTTTCCCCTTGTGTCTGAGTTCAAAGATCGCGCACGTGGTCCTCCCAATTTCCTTCGTGGCTTTCTGCTTCAACCAAGTGCTGGAGCTTTGCAGCTCTTCTATTGTAATTGTATGGGCCAAGTTGGTTTGTTGAGTAAGTGGGCTATCTCTTTCAAGCATTGGGCTTTTTATGGTTGAGTCAATAGGCTATTTTGGTTGGGCTATTTGGGTTAGGATATTTTGGTTGGGATATTTTCTCTTTGTGCTCACCCACATGTTTGGGCCTAAGAAATGGGCCTGAGTTCCGAGGGTATTAAGGTAGGAGATGGAGAGTTTGCAAAGAGGTTTGGCTAAGAAAGGAGGGAGAGAAAGGGATGGTGGCGTGAGTGCTATTTCCGGCAGCTTGACAATGACTCTATCAAATGTCAGAATAGCATAGCAAGAGGGAAAACTGAGGAAGGAGATGAACTAAGCACGAAAATTGCTGGGTTTTGCATGCAAGAGAGGAAGCTTGCTCTCTGGTTGTGTGTTGTTCTTTGTTGGGTAGAAGAGGCCCTATTTATAGGCGCTGGAAGCCATCTGTTTCCAAGAAACCCTAATGACTTCCTTCCTATTTTTCCAAGCTTTTCCCTTCCTTTCTCTCCTCATCCTTTCAATCATCTTCTTGTGGTGAAATCTACTCTGCTCCTCTGCATAAAATCAGGGATTTTGGGAGCTCAAGGCCCCCTTTCCCGCGGCTGCCTCTGTGAAGAATTCCTATTTTCATCCCTCTCCTTTTTCTTCTTTTCTCCTCTTTCCATGGCCAGATCTGATGAAGAAAAGAAATGGCTATGTATGCTGGTTCGAAAAGTGGCATCCTTCCCTGCGCACCAATATCCCTTGGTCCTTTGGATGTTGTAGCTTGGAACTTGTTCCTTCCTGCGCTAAAGCCTCTCAGTAGCTGCGCACGTGGTCCTCCCAATTTCCTTCGTGGCTTTCTGCTTCAACCAAGTGTTGGAGCTTTGCAGCTCTTCTATTGTAATTGTATGGGCCAAGTTGGTTTGTTGAGTAAGTGGGCTATCTCTTTCAAGCATTGGGCTTTTTATGGTTGAGTCAATAGGCTATTTTGGTTGGGCTATTTGGGTTAGGATATTTTGGTTGGGATATTTTCTCTTTGTGCTCACCCACATGTTTGGGCCTAAGAAATGGGCCTGAGTTCCGAGGCTCCCAAATTTTATAGATTTATTTCCTTGGTTAATTAAGGGATTTACTTTCCTATTTTATAGATTTATTTCCTTGGTTAATTAAGGGATTTACTTTCCTATTTTATAGATTTATTTCCTTGGTTAATTAAGGGATTTACTTTCCTATTTTATAGATTTATTTCCTTGGTTAATTAAGGGATTTACTTTCCTATTTTATAGATTTATTTCCTTGGTTAATTAAGGGATTTACTTTCCTATTTTATAGATTTATTTCCTTGGTTAATTAAGGGATTTACTTTCCTATTTTATAGATTTATTTCCTTGGTTAATTAAGGGATTTACTTTCCTATTTTATAGATTTATTTCCTTGGTTAATTAAGGGATTTACTTTCCTATTTTATAGATTTATTTCCTTGGTTAATTAAGGGATTTACTTTCCTATTTTATATAGTTGTTAAATCATTGTATAATTAGGAGATATTTTCCTAATCCTTTACTAGATCTAATTCCTTGTAAAGCACTCATGTGAACTCTTATATATACCTCCTTATGGAGAAGAATAAAAAAGAACCTAACATATTCAAAACCCATATTCATATTTTAGAAGTAATTTGATGGCATGCTTGATGCTTGTGTCCTTGATTAATAAGAAGTTTATAGAGACAAGTAGACAACCTATCTAAATCACATTTCTCTTGTCAAATATGACCTGGCCACTGCTCAAGATGAACTTTTTCTACGTACAATTATGTGCCCATAAACGACAAGTACACAAAATATGACGGTGACACCACAGTGGAAAAGTGGGCTAAACTCTCCCTTCCTCTCTCAAAGTGCACCCAGATTCAATTCACGTAAGAGATAATTCCCCTCCTCCTCCCTAGCGAATGACAAAAAACGAAAACATGATGTGCACAAACACGTGGTTCACTCAGCAAAAGCCATGTCTCTCGGGACCCCTAGGCCAATTATTTCATGAATTTCTTTTCACTGTGAACACATAAGCCTAAAAGATTAGGTTTTGTAGTATTCAAAGGTAAAAACAGCTTCATTATTGTAAAATGGACAAAAAATAGAGTCCCCATGAGTTTGACGGAGGGCACGAAAAGTAAGTGCAAGGAATCAAAGATGAAGAAGAATCTCACATCACTGTCCACACAAAAATCCTCCAGAATATCAAAAGGGACGATGGAGGAAGGCCAAAAGAAGATAAATACAGAAATGAAATGATAAATTTGCCGATTTGCCATAGTTTTTTTTGTGCTAACTGCTATGCTCTCTGCTATCTGCTCCAACGAATAGTTCACAGAAAAGAGAAGGGCATCTTTAATCAGTGGACCACAAACACTAGATGCCATGGCAAGGCACCATTCAATATGGTCACATTCTTCTCGTTTGCATTTTCAAAATTTTTTGGTTATCCGCAAGGCTCTGCAACTGCATCCATTCGTTCATAAATTTGGAATCATCTACATTGGTAAGTGTTTTTTGGCTTTATTTCAAGGTCAAAAAGTGAGTAAAGGATCCCACTACTGGATTGTAGTGAAACAAATGCGTCTCCAATAATTGTTGAACGTTGGGTTGGCAAATTTCATGGTTTTGTTGAAGAAAGAAGGGTAGAAGAAACTGCCAGTTTTGTGCAGAAACAAAGGTTTGAGAACATCTCCAAGAAAGAAAACAAAGAATTATATATAAATATATATATATATGATACATAGCTTGCTTTTTATTAGTTCATGGCTAGCTTCTGAACCTGAAATTGAAACTCTAGAAGATAAAAAGAGAACATACAAAACAGGGTTTGAGATGACCACATGATGCCTGAGTACTATACTGATAGGTGAAGAATTTACAAAATATACTCACAAAGGAGATCTCATCATGCAGTATGTGTGAGATTTACAGTCCTGTTCAGTCTATCAAGAATGCCACTAGCTTTCCTCTTAGACCTTGAAGTCCCATTCTGTGCAAGCTCAGATATTGTTCCGTAAGTGTTCTCTTCTTCCCGAATTTCCTTCCACTTGGTTCGATCGTTTAAACAGATTGTGTGAAGGACTGCAATGCAATTCTCCTTGTTGCGTCCGCAATTGGTCTCCCTGATAACACGGAGCAAGCAAGGAACGGCTCCAAGCTCTCCCATTTCCTCCACAGCCTTGGGATGGCTTGAGAGCATTGCAAGGATGGCCAACAACTCATCAACGTGCATACGGTTACTTATCTTCTTGAGAATTGTCCTCACTGCCCCGTCTCTCACAGCTCTTGCCTTGTTCTCATGGGTGATGCATAGGTTGAAAATTGCAGAAGCAACATCTTTCATAGCTAATGGATGCCCCTCATCTAGGAGGGCGATGAGGGGTTTTAGGGCACCGGATTTCCCAATAAGTGCCTTGTTGGAATCCAGAGCTGACAAAGTGAAAAGGGCTGCTGCTGCATTGCTCCTTGTTTGAATGGTTCCTGACTGCAATGCTTCAATTAGTAAAGGAATTACCATTGGACTTTCTGCCACAAGCTTCTTGTTGTTGTCATGGATTGAAAGATTCAAGAGTGTCGTGATCACGTCTTCTTGGAGTTCCGGGTGAATACCATCTTCAAACTTGCCCTCAGATAGTGGACTGAGCAGTTGAGGGATGGCATGTATAGACTCGCCAAAAAGTGCCCGGAAAGAAGGCATCCTCTTTGTCAACAACCGAAGCTCCTTTGCAGCTTCTTTCTGCTCAGGCAATCCAGAAGACATCTTCTGGAGCAAAGAAAGAAAATGGTCTCGATCCGATTCTGTTATACCATCCTCATTGACAAGGAGAACAGGATCCGACAATTCAATCCCTCTATTCTTACACCATTGCGATATCATTTCACGAACCAAGTGATTGGGAGTAAGGATTGTGTGCGAGAGTACTTGTTGGGTTCGAGGGCATATCCTGTTGCCCGCCTTTAGCCCTTTTTGGATGAATGGTCTGTCATATGTCTGTCAATAAAAAGAACAAAAAAAGAAGCGGATTTAGAACACACTTGCCAAATTAAAGATCATGGAGGAGACCAGATCATGTGATTTGGAACATATTGCTTCTCTGCTAAATTCTTCTGCTATGATTAAACTGATTTGAAGAATTTACAGAGAAGCAATATACACACAAAGGAGCTGTACTTAACAGAATTTAATCTAAAAAATCCTCAGAAAACTGGCAATATTTATTTCTGAAAGGAAACTACACTCAGACATGTTCAATTTTACCACCATAAATAGGGAGGGAAAAAATATCTCAAAAACTTTAGCCAATCAAACAATTAGTGCTTTAAATTCAAGTTCCAGAATCAGTACAAACAGGACAGCACCTTAAATCCACACTGTAACTTCAACCAACCACCAGATAATTAAAAAAATACTAGAAAAAGTAAAAAACTGTAACCAAGGAAGAAGACAATAAATCACCTTCCTTTTACGTACCACACAAATTAAATCCTCAGAGCTCCGTTTGGTTGCTGAGAAAGTGAAAGGAAAACAAAATAAAAACTTCAAATGCATAAAGAATCTAAGATCTTTTCCTTGTCGACATTTTCTCAGCCCAACAAAACAGAAGATGAAGGGAAATTGCAGAAACTGAAAGCACCAACAAAGGACTAAAAGCTTCGAATTTGACATTAAAAACCAGAAAAAACAGAGCAAAATGTAAAAACCCAAGTGGCAAAGAAAACCAACCTCGCCTGTAGAAACAATCACAGGGTCTCTCATCAACTCCTTGGAAAGTGGACATCGAAACTCTGGAGGGCAAGAAAGAACATCATTCAGCTTCAGAGACAGCGATCTCTTCTTGAACTTCAATTCCTTGAGAGCCGAGAGAGTGTCTTTGGCCTGATCGATTGTTTGGGTGCTGAAATCCTCGTCGTCAACAATAGCCCTCACCAGCCTCTGCAGCTCCTTCTTCAATTCTGTGGCTTTGGCCACCATAGCCGGATCAGAATCAAACACGCCAGTCTTTGCCATTTCGGTTAATTTTGGTTTCTGGGTCTTGGGTTTTGCTATGTGGGGATTGAATGATCAAATGGAATTGTGGGTTCTGAGAATGGTGAAGCAGAGAAGGAGAATGGTAGTGGGTGCCATTGTTGTCTCTGTTCTTTCTTGTTCTTCTGAAGGAAGCCAAGTTTAGTCAAATACCAAAACCAGACACACAACACACACGCATCCCACCCTTCTCTCTCTCTCTCTCTCTCTCTCTCTGAACTAGGGTGTTCTTATAAATAGTCTAATTAAACCGAAGTTGGAAAACTTTGTTACGGTTTTGTTATTTATCCTCATCTTTTTACAAACTGTGTATAGCCATTAATAATAACACAAAACCATTTCTGAATTTCCACAAGACTTTATTTTTCTCTCTCTCTTTTTTGTTTCCTGTTGGGTTTTTGGTAGCTAATTTACAAGGCTTGTAAATGAATAAATTGAAAATCGTATTTATTATTCCACAGCTTTTTCACTGACCAAGCAATAAATATAAAGTTATCTGGTTTTTCTGAATGAATTCAATTCAGCAAAAACAACTTTAGAATTCTCGAATTGTTTTTATATTTTCGTTTTCTAATTTCTCAGCTCACTGTTTCTAAAATACTTTTTTTCAATGAAACTTCCTTGACTAAGAAAATTATTTATTTATTTATTTATAAACCCTTTTCTGTTTTCTCCTTTTGATTGCATCATCAGCCCACAAATGCAATGTTTCGTCATTTCTGGAATACCATAAATAAATCAAAGACTATTCTATTTATCCTTTTTATTTTATTGGAATTAAACCCTAATGTAGGTTAGTCTACAAATCAACTTTAAGAAAAAGAATCCTCTCACAGACTTATAACATGTCATTATTTGACATCATTGGTAAAGAAACCCCTTTACATTTAGATACATGAAATGCTTAATGTATCTTACTAAGCCACTTAAAAAAAATCTCACTAGTTTCGAATGAATATGTTTCTTCTTGTTATTCTAATTCACACATTTACAACGTGAAGTTGAAAGTATAAACAAAATATCAGTATTAATAGTGTGATACTGAAGTAAGATTACGTGATATCACTCGTCTACTCATATTATAACAAATGAATAACTTATATCGTGTATCCATATTTTAATACCATACAATAATTACTCTTAAACATAAAGGGGATGAAAAAGTTATAAGTTGAGTGGTGTCAAAGAAAGATATTTTTTTTCGGAAATCAATCTCAAAGAAAGATTTGATCTGTTGGCAACAAAAATAAAAGGGCAAAAAAAAATGGAGATGAGTAATTAAATTGTAAAATTATGAAATGTGGTAGGTCCCATAAGGAGGGGTGGGCCCCTCATGTATGCGGTCACGGAATCCATAGGATAAACAGCTGGAATGACGCGTCAGAAAGCTTCCTCACTACTGCACTTACTCAACCGAGTCAACTCGCTCTAATAAACTCGTTCTCACAGTCAGAGAAGTGGACCAGAGAGAGAGTGTTACTATATGCAAAACAGTATCTATCAAATCGGGGTAGAATCACCTGTATCCTGCCCTACAGTAACACACTAGTCCATTAGATTTGTAATTAATAATTTTCTTGGTGATTAGTTTTTGTTTAAATTAATTAAATTGGGGGCAAGGCATAAGGTGCGGGACCCAGGGCTGCTATGGGAATTCGCATCATTGCCATGTGTGGTGGTGGGCGGAAACAGGGAGGACATGTGTGATTTGATTTAGGGTATTCGACACGTGTCATTCAATTGCCTCGCCACACAAATTAAGTGAGTATTATGAGTTGGACCATCACCCACTTTATTTCATTAAAGCAAACCCAAAATTTAACACAAATTAATTAGCACAATCATGTCAATCCTTAATTCCCGCCTCCACTCGTGTAAAATTTAGGTCAAACAAAAGGGGGCAATGCAATCAAGTGTATTGAATGAAATGATATGATTTCGTATTGTACACGTTATGTTAGGTTGTTTAATTGCGAATTGAAAAGACTTCAATACGAGATAAATGAATAATATGTAAGTTCAATGATAAAGTTTCATAATATAGCAAGAATGTCGTAATGTGATGAAAATGAGAGAAAACGTAAGCACGAATGAGTTGAAAACGAAAGACCCCAACGAATAGCTAATTGGGAGGCTCTAAAGCAACTTCTAAACCACGGAAACTCGAAGAAAACAAAAATCTTATGCACAAATGTAGTATGAACATGTGAAATGTTGAATATATGAAAAGTTGTGTGTATATGTAACGATCATATTGATTGTTGATAATAAAAGAAAAACGAGTTTGGTAGGTTTTGTCAAAATCAGGAGAAGTTTAAGAAATTCCCAACAAACAAAATCCGTCAATTTTAAAATCATCTAGAACCTGAGTCCTAACTGATGGCTCTGCCTACGGTGCTACCAAATTTAGGGCTTCAAATTCTACCTAGGTTTAGCCAATAATACTATAGATACTAATTTTTTAAATTTTTTAATTTTAAAAAAATAATGAAGGTTTGCTTTCTATATTATTTTTATTTTTTGATTCTAATTTCTTTAATAACGGCTGGAAAATTGTGTTAAAAGAGTGTGGAGGAAGGCTCCACAAAAAAAGTCAAATCCACCATTTGTGATTGAAGGTCCTTTTCTTCTATGTTGTGTCTTGTACTTCATTTTTTATTTATTTTTCTTCTGCTAGAGACGAAAAAGTTGTGTCTTCTTGTACTGTAGCCAGCAGTTTCAGTTTGGGTCAGGTTTTGTTTTGTCCTATCAATTTTTTGCCAGCCTAAACAAAATGCCACAACCATTCATTTTACTGTTTGTTCATCAACCAAGACAGTTCAGGACCCACAACCAATAATGTTTATATTATGAAATACTATACTCAAAATTCTAAAGAAATAAACGTTTATATGGTGAAATAGATTAGTGGTATCAGGTTTGAATTTCTATGATACCGTGGTTGTGTTGCGTGTGTGTGAGAAACGCTCATTTTCTATAGTTTAGATTATCTTTCGTGCTAAAAAAAGAGTGAAAAAAATAAAGAAGGAAAAATAGAAAGGGAGTTTTAGAGGGAACCCAAATTTAGGGTTTGTCACAATTTTTCTTTTGGACTATAAACGATAAAAGCTAATTTTCAGCTGGTCTATATGGGGTCCAATCCTCACCACAGCGACGTGCAAAGCAAGGCTCACCGTTCCTCCTTGGTGGCAATTGGGGCCTACCTACGTATTACACGTGTCTTTGTTTTGTGAGGCCACCATCTCCACGTGTACAACGCCACTTTTGTCATTTTGGGTAAGGCCAAATGCCCAGAGACACCTGGGCAGCTTTGCCGTCATTCATTTCCTCCACCACCCAAAAAATATACAGGAAGAGTGTTACAATAATCGTCGACTCGCGTGGATTTATCTGGGGGATTAATGCATTGTGAGTTTCATATGCATCAATCGACAAGATCAAACTCACGGTCGTATCCGTGACCAAATGTTGCACTTCTCAACTACAAATGTGTGCAAAGTCTTTGATAAAGAGATGCGGAAGAATGGCAGATATGCAAATGCATTACTGTCTCTGTCAGATAAAAATGCATCAGTAGTAGAAATTCACAATTAAGCTTTAGTTCTTATGGAAGGACTGTACAGAGATTGGCTTTAGATTCATGAGGGCCTTCTCATAGGATATAAACGCATGAAACCATTCCGATATTTATACTTTACAAACAATCCTGATTTAAATTAGTAGAAAATACCAAAACAAAATGGGAGCTGACAATTACCAAGGCCCAACAAAATCGGAACTAATAATATCAAGGCCCTAAACCAAAAGAGCCCAAGTCGCATTTGGGTCACAGTAAGCGGTTCATCAAAAATTAGGTTAATCGTTTTATTAGTTACTGAATTTAGACCCGATTTGCATTTGAGTCCCTCAATTTTCAAAATCATTCATGTGGTTCTTCAACTTTAGTTTCGTTAGGACAAATGATCATGCCGTCAATTTTGTTAACTTTTCTGTTAAATGTAGGGGCAAAATGCTATCCATATTACCACTCAAGGCAACTCAAAAATAATTGCTACATCAACACCAAGGCCCTAAACCAAAAGAGCCCAAGTTGCATTTGGGTCACAGCAAGCGGTTCATCAGAAATTAGGGTTAATCGTTTTATTAGTCATTGAATTTAGACCCGATTTGCATTTGAGTCCCTCAATTTTCAAAATCATTCCCGTGGTTCTTCAACTTCAGTTTCGTTAGGACAAATGATCATGCCGTCAATTTTATTAACTTTTCTGTTAAATGTAGGGGCAAAATGCTATCCATATTACCACTCAAGGCAACTCAAAAATAATTGCTACATCAACATTTCAAGCAGAAGGGAATTTAAGTAGATAGAAATTGGTTAGGCTTGCAGAGAGACAGAAAAAAAAATTAATGCATTGTTGTGACGTTTTAGAGGAATAAATAATCCAACTCAAACCCAATTACTAAATCTATTAGCTAAATTGAAGTGAGAGTCAGAGTAGGGGGATGAATAAAGTCAATGAAACAGTTAAGAGAAAGAAAGGAATTAATTTTGGATGCAAAGAACATGTATCATAAGTCTAATGTGGGGAATTATTTCATTTCCTTAAAGAGGAAGAAGAAAAAGAAACCTGAGGTGTAGTTAGCAACCACACTTGGGAATTACTTTACTGTTTTTGAGAAACAATTGAAAACTTGTTGTCACCTTTACCTTTGTATGTTATTGAAGATTCTCTTGTCAGTTAGACATGTCACTCATCAAGTCATCATGGTGCCCAGTTCTTTCTTCTAATCAATGCATGCTAGGCATTCATCCATGGGTAAAAATTAAAATTATATTCTGCTAATTACAAAATTTATGTGTTTTTTTTCTTCGTATAATTTTCTATGCATCAATTCAATGCTTGTATTGTATTTCATTTTGTTGCTGTCATGCAAGCATTTATGTTTTAGAAAGAGTGGTTGAAAGAGCTTGAACCAAGTAATGAGCCATTCTATTCTACTGCAATAGTGGTATTAAATTTGAGCACATGCGCCATTGCCATCCATTTTTGTCTTTCTTCTCCCCCTTGACTTCATGGGGAAATTGCAGAAATGGGTGCTCCTTGCAGCCCAAAACAGAACAGCGCGGCTATGAGATGATGAGATGCACTTGCTCTATGTTTTGGACTGAAGGGAGCTCCCAGTTCTTCTGTTTTCATTTAAGCAGATGTCCTCATCATCCTGTGATGTGGTGGGTAAGTTTCATTC